AGGAGAGGGGGAGGGGAGGGGAGGGGAGGGCGGGGAGCAGGTGCGGGGTTGCGGGACGCAGGCTCCCAGTGACCATGAGTGCATCTCGGGGTGGGAAGTGCAGAGCGGTGACTGGAGTGGACAACACTGTGATGACCGTCCGGTGGCTGGGGTGACCACACCAGCCGTGGGGAGCACCTCGGAGCATGGAGACATGTTGGGTCAGTCTCTTGTGCGCCTGAAACCAGCGTAACGCGTGTGTCGACTATGCTTCAACAGTGAAAGTTAGAACGATCACGCGTGGGGTCCACGTCCGTAGAGGAGACCAGGCCCAGGGAACTGGAGCCACGAGAAGAGTGACCCATCCAAGGTCACGTTCCCTTCTCAGCAGAGAAGCCGTGACTCCTGACCCCCAGGCCTTCCCTTCCTGGCCCCCCGGGTCCCCAGGAACAGCGACAGCTGACACCTGCTGAGTGAATCCCACACCCTGTCTCGTGACGCCCCGACTGGTGACACTCTCAACCCTGCAAGGCGGGTCCTCCTATTATCTTCCATTTTACAGATGAGAAAATTGAGGGGAGGAGGTTGAATAATATGCTCAAGGCCAGCTAATTACTGGTGGACGTGGGACAGAAACAACCTAACCTCGCTCGCGGGGCAGGCTCCGCTGGGCTCGCTCTGACATTCCCCCCCCCCCCCCCCTTCCTGGCCATCCTCTGAGCCACTCCCCCAGGGCCGGGCAAACACTGGAGCCACAGGACTGGTGTTCCCACCTCAGCCCACCGGGCCCACGGGGCCAAGGGCAGGGGAGCGGGCCTTGCCCAGGGTGGGAGTGGCTGGGATGCCACCAGACCTCCTAGGGAGGCCCCCCCCCCCAGGTTCCCAGCCTCCTAAGTGTTTGCAGAAACGCTCAAGGCAAAGGCGAAGGTGGGTGACATTCATTAGCGCTTTTGTGACTCACTTCCCAGGGAGCAGGCCCCTGGATAAAGGTTCCCGGCAGCCTCACCTCCCCGCGGCAGGTGCCCGAGAGCGCGGCACGGCTCTGCCCCCGGTGCCCCCCCCCCCCGGGGGGCCCCCGGCCATGTCTGCGCTCGCGGCCAGCGTATCTCAGCGGCGGCGGGCGGCAGCTCACGGTCTTGGCTCCCAGCACAAAGCCGTCAAGTATTTAGGCCAGGACTTCGAGACCCTGAGGAGGCAGTGCTTGGACTCGGGGGTCCTGTTCAAGGACCCCGAGTTCCCAGCGTGCCCGTCAGCCTTGGGCTACAAGGACCTTGGACCACACTCCCCCCAGACTCTAGGCGTCGTCTGGAAGCGACCCCCGGTAAGCAGACCGGCTTGCAGCTGAGGGTCACACGGATGGAGGGTCCTCACTTCTGGTCGGAAGTAGTTGAGGGAGAAATCATGCCCCTGGACCCTAAGTTTCTGGGTCCCCTATTTTAGAGCAATCCCCCCACCCCCAAGACTTTCTCAGAGGCAGTGAGGTATGGAGGGAACACCACACACAGGCTTTGGGACGAGACGCGTTGGATCTGAGCCCGTGTGGCCATGTGCAGAAACCTCACCTTTCTCATCTGTGGAACGGTGCTTCAGGGTGGGGGGGTGCAGAACCGTCCTCCCCAAACCCAAGCCGTGACCTCCTGCTCCGGGACCCTTGTCCGGTGACTCAACCGGAAGGATGGGGGCCCCTCTGCAGGGTGAGAGCCGAGACCAGGGCTCCGTGCCGTGTCTGGCACATAAAGGGACCACGATCAGTGGCCCTACGCCAGGCGCCTCTGTTCTCGCCCACAACGGGAAAGCCAAGCTGTGGGAGCCGTCTCCTCAGCAGGGGTGGGGAACGGAGCTCGAGGCAGGGACAGCACCGTGGACGTGATCAGAACCGTCCTTCGGTTCCGGCTCCCGCTGCCCCAGGGTCTGCGTCCTGCCCGGTTTGCAGGACGGTCTCCTGGAGAAACCCGTCACCCCACTCGCTCCTGCCAACCCGGCCCATCCTCCGTACCCGAGACCTGAGGGGCTAGTCGGGGGTGTTGGCAAAATCGAGGCCGGGAATCGGTTTTGGATTCTTATTTCGAGAGTTGACGGCCGTTTCGTTTCCAAGGACAGGTCGTCCAGCCTGAGTTTTGGGCCAGGCGTGGGCTCCGTCCCGGGGAAGGCGGTCGGGGAGACCCTGAGGAGGGAGCTGTGGTCCCAGCTGTGAATCGGGGACAATGGAGGCGCTGCACAGGGACGTCAACTGCGAGCCAGGGGACCCGGGGTGTCCAGAGGGGGCAGCCTAGTGGGGCTGGGGACCCCAAAGGGCCTGGGGAGGGGTGAACGGGGGTGACGGGGGTTTCGCCGGGTGACCGAAGCCACGGGTCAGTTAACCTTTGCCAAGGTTTTCTCCTTCATCTGAGATTCTCAAAGCTCCTACCTCCCCGACCACTTTGCTCTGCCCAAAACCGAGTCTTCACCGGGTCTCACTGTCCACGTAAACACGGTTGCTGTAGAGTGGACGCGTGGTTTTGCGCGAGGCTGTGCTCACACACCGTGAGGTGTCACACATCCTCTGAGATCTTACCGACGTCACACAGGCTCCCAAGCTGGAAACAGCCCTGACCCTCCCTCCGTCGGGCACCTGCCCCGGTACCTGGGAAAACCAGCCCAGCCAAGAGGCTGGGCCCCATCCCCGGATGCCTCGGGGCCGCAAGAATGGGGGCGTCCCGACTGGAGCTGCACTGATGGGTCCCCTTCCCCCTTCTCTCCTTCCTTCCTTTTCTTGCTTCTACTTGTGGTAAAATACACATAGCGTAAAAGTTCCCGTCCCAACCGCCTCTAGGCTTGCCCGCCGAGCACTTACCCTCTCGTGCACTGCCAACATGCCATGGGCTCCCAAACAGCTTGTGAAACGGGGCCTCTGTCCTCACTAAACACTGTATGTGGAACCACACGGTATTCGTCCTTCCGTGACCGGTTCATCTCACTCTGTCTGATGTCCTCAGGGTCACCCCTGTGGTAGCAGGTGTCAGAATTTCCTTCCTTCTGGAGGCTGAGCCCCAGTCCACTGGGGGTGGACGCCATGCTTCTCTCACTCATTCACTAATTGAGGGACGTTCAGGTTGTTTCCACCTTCTGGCTGTCGTGGGTCATGCCGTTACGAACACGGGTGTTCAAGTATCTCTTTGACACCCAGCTTTCAATTCTTTTGGGTGTATGCCCTGACGTGGAACCTCCAGATCGTACGGTAATAATGTTTTTGATTTTTTTAAAGGAAGTAAAATGTATTTTTTTTAGTTTATTTTTTAAAAATGTTTATTTATTTTGGGAGAGAGAGAAAGAGTGAGAGGGGGAAGAGGCAGAGACAGAGGGAGGGAGAGGCTCCCAAGCAGGATCCACACTGTCAGCGCGGAGTCCGACGTGGGGCTCGATCTCATGAACTGTGAGATCGTGACTTGAGTTGATATCGAGAGTCAGACACTTAACCGACTGAGCCCCCAGGCTCCCCTTGTTTCTTTATCCTTTTGTTTTATTAATTTTTTTAATGTTTATTTGTTTTTGAGACAGAAAGAGAGCACAAGCAGGGGAGAGGCACAGAGAGAGGGAGAGAGAATCTGAAGCAGGCTCCAGGCTCTGAGCTGTCAGCACAGAGCCCGATGCGGGGCTCGAACTCACAGACTGTGAGATCATGACCTGAGCTGAAGTCGGACGCTCAACCACCTGAACCACCCAGGCACCCCCCAACAAGTGTCCTCCTTAATGCCCATCACCCATTTAGCCCAACCCCCCACCCACCTCCCCTCCAGCAACCCCCAGTTTGTTCTCTGTATCTAAGAGTCTCTTAGAGTTTGCCTCCTTCTCGGTTTTTATCTTATTTTTCCTTCCCTTCTTGTATGTTCATCTCTTGTTTCTTAAATTTCACATGTGAGTAAAGTCCTGGGACATCAGTCTTTCTCTGCCCGACTTCTTTCGCTCAGCATAATACCCTCCAGTTCCATCCGCGTTGTTGCAAATGGCAAGATTTCCTTCTTTCTCGTGGCCGAGTAACATTCCACTGTGTGTGCATACAACGCCGTCTTTATCCGTTCATTGGTTCCTGGACACTTGAGTTGCTTCTGTATCTTGGCTGTTGTAGGTGATGCTGCGGTAAACACCGGGGTGCCTGTATCCCTTTGAATGAGTGTTTTTGTATTCTTTGGATAAACACCTAGTAGTGCAGTTGCTGGGTCGTAGGGTAGTTCAATTTTTAACTTTTTGAGGCACTTCCACGCTGTTCTCCAGAGCGGCCGTGCCATTGTGTATTCCCACCAGTGGCGCACGCGGGTTCCCCTTTCTCCGCGTCCTCGCCAGCACCTGCTGTTTTCTGCTCTTTGACAGTGGCCGTCCTAATGTGCGCGGGGTGGCCTCTCACTGTGGTTTTGGTTTGTGTTCCCCTGATGATGACGCTGAGCGTCTCTGCATGTGTCCGTTGGCCACTCGGATGTCTTCCCTGGAGAAATGTCTGTTCAAGTCATTTGCTCATTTTTAATTTGGGTGATTGGTTTTTGGTTTCACTCGCTGCTTTGGAGGGTGATGCCTGACTCTGTTTGTACCAGGGACTTCACGCCAGCTGCTGGGCTGTGGCTGTAACGCCCCTGCCTCGCACCAAGCTGTTAACTTGTACCTGTCCTGCGGGGTGTGTGGATGGGGTGGGCTGAACACACATGCACGTACGCTTTGGTCCTCTTGACAGGAGATGATGCTGGCTACTTAGATGTTTCCTGAAATCATAAAATTTGGCATCCTGACCCTTTCAGGGTCTTTGCCTGTTTTGTTTTGTTTTTTTGCCTATTTTTACCCTGCTGAGCAGAAGGCCTGCTTGGGCTCTCGTCTCGGTGGTGGAAGACGAGTTTGCCCAGATTGAAGATCTCAGGGTCCAGCTTGTAAGCTCAGGATAAGCTTTGGCTATTCACGATCCGAGTGAGATTTTCTCCGCTGGGGCTGGACACGGACGACAGACACAACGGCGGCCGTGTGAGACCCGGGGCCTCCCGCCGCCCTCCCCACGCTGTCCACCCTCGTGTCCCCACGGCTCCCGGGCCCCCCACCTGAGGGACGCCTGGCGTGTGCGGCCCAGCTGACGATGTTCTTTTCCGCCCATTTGTTGGCAGTTGAGCATTTGGTGGATCCAAATGCTCCGGGGGAGGAGGTGATGCCTGCTGCATAGTGAGGACCCAGGGGAGGGGTGGAGGGCGTGGCTCTTAGGAGGTTGGGGTGCAGATGAGCAGCCGGGCCTCCCCTTGGGGCTGCCACACTCCCTCCTCTGCTGTCTCTGGACTAATGGATTTGGCCGCATCTATTAGCGCTGGTCACACACAGATGTCAGTGTGGAGCCTGCGCGAGCCTTCTCCAGTGGGGAGCAGGCAGCGTGTGGCTGAGAGCCTGGGTCTGGGCGCCAGGCACATTGGGATTATGGTCCCCTCGGTGCCGTTTCCTGGCCCTGTGACCACGAGTGAGATGCTGACCCCCCAGGACCCAGTCTCGACATCTGTAAAAGGGGTAATAACATCACTTACCTGGCGGGGTTATCCGGAGGCTTGGATGAGAGAGCGGGAGTGGGTTGAGCACGGCGGCGCTCGGGGCTGGGAGCACCCCCTGGTTCACGTCAGAGGGCGAAGTACAAATAGGAACGGAACACATGGGGCCAGGGCAGGGGCGTTAACCTGACCGTGGAGTCCGGGACGGTTCATCACTGTGGACATTCGAGTCGGAAGGTGGGGTTGGGAGAGGAGCAGGAGGGCACGGGTGGGAGAGAGCAGGGCTGCGCAGGTGTGCGGGAGAGAGGGAGGCTCTGGGAGACAGAGGTGAGGCTGGGAGGTCAAGGGGGCCGGCTGCCGGGGTGGGACCGCCAGGCAGGTGATGAGGCCGCCACCCTGGCGGTGGTGACCAAGGTGACAGCACCGTGGGCTCTGGAAGCCACGGTCGGAGCTCCTGAAACTGTCAGACGTGGGCTGATGCCCCGGGGCGCTGTGTTTCCCTGTCACCACTGTCACCGTCACCTGGAGTGTGCCGTCCAGTCACTTCCTGCCTTGGCCTCCTCAGGGGTCCCCGGGGGTTCCTGCGCCCTGCACCACAGGCTGATGCGGGCTGGAGTAACGTATGTGTGTGTTGAGATTCCTGCCCCAGCGGCATTAACACCATTACGGAGAAGGGGGAGGGGGGGACGCGTGCCTCTCCGGAACCCCCCGGGCCAGCGCGTTCCTCGATATCTCCCGCCCGCGTTCCGGCAACAAGCCGCGTGGGGAGACTTCGGGAACGCGCTGTGGCCACAGCTCTGAGCCGAGATGCAGTCTCCTGGCCCTCTGCTCTCCGAGCTGAGGGTCCGCACAACCCGGAAGTCGTGGCGTTTCTTGGTGCCTGTTTCCGAGGAGGCGTCGTGAATGATGCTAACCAACGACGCGATAAACCAACATCTCCTCCGCCTGTAGGCCACGCGGTGCCATTCCTGCGACAGGGTACGCCACCTCCAGGTCTCGCAAACCACCGTCTCCCGGACCGAGTGCAAGATCTTAGCAGAACTTGGTCTGAGTCTGCTTAGATCTCAGTCTCATGAGCTTACGTCACAGGAACTGTGACTTGTGCAGCTGGGGACATGGCCATCCTCCGTGGCTGGGGGTTGAAGCCAGGGGTTTGGGTTGGCTCGACTTGGGACTCGAACTCACGGACCTCAAGAACAAGACCTGAGCTGCCCTCGGATGCTCAGCTGACTGAGCCACCCAGGCACCCTAAGAGTATGTTTTTAATGTTTATTTTTGAGAGAAAGTGTGAGTGTGGGAGGGGTCTAGAGAGAGGGAGACGGAGTCCCAAGCAGGATCTGCCCCATCAGCACAGAGCCTGACGTGGGGCTCAATCTCCTGAGCCCTGAGATCATGACCTGAGCTGAAGTCAAGAGTCAGATGCTTAACTGGCTGAGCCACCAAGCACGCTGGGAGGGGACAGTCTTTCAGGAGGGTTTTCAAGGAGCGAGATTCTGTGAGACCCTGCTCGGTGCGTCCTCTCGTCTTTCTTCTCGACGTTTTTTGTCCCTCTCTTTTTAATTTTTCATTTTCCAAATCTGTCCCCCTTCTGCTCCCCAAGAGCTGACGGTCTGGAGGCCGGGAGCCCCCAGCACCTGGCATCAGCATTTGCAGCCCTGAGAACCCCTGGCTTGGCTGACACCAGGGCGTCTCTCAACTGCCCCTGGAGGTGGCCGAGAGGGACCCGGACAGAGCTGCAGTCCCGCCAGCGGCCCAGCCGCATAACCCGCGGTTCTTACAGCGAGGTTGTGAAGTCTCCACGTGCTGAGAAAGCGCGGACAAGACACGTGTGATCGAAAGCCGGTATCTACCGTGACCTCCTGCCTCCCCCCTCCCCCTGTCCTTCTGCCTCCTGCCTCCACACACACACACACCCCGTCCTCCTGCCTCCTACCTCCCCCTCCCCCCCCCCCCCCCATTTCCCCATGGTCAGTCACAGAGGGGTCTCTGTTCCTTGAGGGTCCACCCTCACCCTGGACAGTCTGCCGGGGGCAATGCAGACCCACCTCTCCCTTGGGGACAGAGCCGTGGTCAGCCCCTCGGACAGTCTGCATCCTCTCCCACCCAGAGAGCCCCAGACACAGTCCCTCTCGGGTGTTTCTCGTTTTCCCCCTGAGCGTACGCGGCCTACACCCGGCTTTTCTCTGACTCTTCCGTGAGGGTCAGTCCTGGTTTCCCGAGCAAAGGCCGGAAGCACCTTGAGTCTCAGGACCGGTTCTCCCTTCGCTCCCGCCTTGCCCTCTTGCCCGACTGCCGAGCTGTGCGCGGAGTGGGCTCCCGGACGAGTTGGACAAGCTGCTCGGGGGAGTACACCGGCCCCGTGGTGGGGGGGTTCACCGGAAGGAAGGACAGACGGCCCCGTGGTGGGGGTGGGTACACCAGAAGGAAGGACGCCTCGTGGGGCCCGGAGCTCCAGGCGGATGCCCCGCGGAGGGGCGTGAGCGCAGGGAGCGCGGCTGGGGTGTGTGGGTGCATCACCGCGAGCTCTCGCCTGGGGTCACACCCCACGCCCCAGTGCCTGGGTCAGTGCGAGGGGCCCCCTTCACGCTGTCAGGCGGTTAATGAGCGTCCGCGGGTGCACAGCACTAGTTGGGGCGAGGAAACGCTTCTGTAAGCCTCTCTGTAGGTAGGGGTGCTGAGAGGTGAGCTCACGAGTCACCACATTATTGCCGGGGCCACTGCCTTTCGTCCCTCCTTGCCCTGCCTCTCCGCTCTGCACCCTGGCCGCCTTCTCCCTCCGCACCCCTGCTCCGCACCCCGGCTGCCTCCTCCCTCCTCCAGGCTGCAGAGTCCTCGGCAGGTGATCTGGGCTCCTCCCAGGCTGAGCCTTGACCGTGACGCTCCCTGACCTCCACTCCTTCCGGCACTGGACGGCCAGTGACTCGTGTTTTGTCCCCTCGCTTTCAGGAGCTGTGTGCCAACCCTCACTTTATTGTTGATGGAGCCAGGCGCGCGGACATCTGTCAGGGAGACCTGGGTGAGTACGGGGTCAGCCACAGCCCTCTTTGTCCGTGGTCAGGGCACGCGTGTGGCCGTGTGCTGACTGACGCGAGATCAAGCTGTTGGACGCACCATCGCCTGTGCGATTTTCTGCGTGGGTCTGCGTTTCTGGGCGGTTGTCTTCACTGTGAGTCTGCACAGCTGGGAGCGTCACTCCCCCGTGGGGTTCCCGCGTGGCACCCGGCCCCTCCTAACGCAAGAGTCACGGGATGGCGGGCGCACGGTGGCGACCGTGCTGCGATGCGCATTGAGGCTGGTTGCCTGTAAGTGGACGTAACTCGCCCATGGAATGGCCACGTCCGTATAATTGTGGTCTGTCCACGGGACGGTTCTAAACTCCGTAGGAAGACGAGGACCCCGTTTTCTCTCCAAGCTGTGTCTCGTAGCCTGGAATCCTGGGAGAACAGCGTCCACCTCCCAACCTCCCACGCTTCCTCCGAATCAGATGCACTTACACTTAGAAAATCGTTTATCCCAAGTTTTTGCTAAGTTCTGGCCTCGGGTGGGGGGCCGAGGCTCCCCTTGAAGGTGCATCAGCGCTGCTGGCCTCTCAGCCGCCCCCGGTCCGTGGGGTCTGCGCACGGAGTCGCCCGATGCCGACGTCTCAGGGGACGGGGTGGCCCTCGGTCGAGCTCACTGGGCTCCTGACCGCCAGCCCGCACCGGCTGCAAGGCCAGAACTGGAGATCAGGCACCGGGTGATCCAGTCCCACCCGGAAAACCAGCAAAGCAAAAGGAAGCACCCACACGGGCCCGGAAACCCTGTCTTCCCAGGAAGCCCCTCCCTCCTCTCCTGCTGGTTCCAGCCGAGAACACCTGCTCTCCTCAGCCTGCCAGGAGGTTCTAGGAATTGGAAGTTCACAGGGCATTTTATTTTAAGTGTTCCCGCATTCTGGCTGTTACACGTGGAGCAGACACCGCCTCGGCCGGAGCCCACAGAGCGTGAGAGCAGAGCGGCTGGGACGTGGCCGTGGCCTCCGTGTCCCAAGCCCTGTGACTTCTGTGCCCCTTGTGCCCGGACTCACGGCCCTTTTACTTCCAGCCAAATGTTTAACCTAATTAGCATGCGTCTCAGGGACACAGCTTTGAATGTCCACTTGTAACAGCTCCTCGTTATAGACGCGTTAACTTTGGGAAAGGTATTTAATAAGTGCCTTTTAATTGTCGGCCTGAATAGAGGCTCTTGAGTAGTTTCGAGCAGGGAGAGGAGAGGTTTCCAGAGGAGGCCTGCGTGTTGCCATGGTGAGCGCATGCAAATGTGGAGCCAGACATGGACCAACTGCCCTCAGAAGCCGCCTCCTGGGTAGTGAGGGGGGCCGCCAGCCGGTGCCCCGGGGGAGCCCAGCCTCCGCGGTGGCCTTTCGAGAACAGAGCGTAAAGGGGCTGGAGGGCGCGTGGTGGGGGCCTGAGGGCCAGCCGGGCGCCCTGGGCCCTGGGTGGAGGCCCCCGGGGGAGGCTCCCCATCCGACCAGGAGCCTGGCGGCCCTGGCGAGTCAGGGCGCGCCTCCCACGGTGTTCGTCCAGTGCTGAGAGTCCGATATAGCACAGGGGGCCCTACTCTGGGTTTACTACGTTTTCATCACCATTGCTACCCCTGGTCTATCATTTTGTTATTTCGGATGCACGCCGTTCACCAGTGACAAATCCCGGAGAGTGTGCGGTGAAAAGCTAGCTGCCCGCCTCCCCGGGGCCCCGCCGCCCTGTCACCGCCTCTTGTCCGGCCCGCTGGCTTCTCGCGTCCTTGCGCTGGCGGCAGAAAAGTGTAGGCACCGCTGTTTGTTCTCTTTGCGCTTAACCAAGTGCTGGTCTTCCCACAACGTGTCGGAACAGCTGGGTCTCCTTCCCGCTCAGCGCTGTCCTGTCTTGACGTCGCCTGCCGAGCCGTCTTCTCCTTTGCCGTTACGACACGTGTAGCAGCGGATGTCCTTCTTCCTCGGCCCTGTCGCGAGTGGGTGCCTGTCCCTCTGCCGCCCGCTGGGCCGAGCCTGCCTCCCGGAGGCGCGAGCCGCTCCGCGCCCAGCGGAGACTCTGGGCTCACCTCCGGTCCGGGGCCTGGCCTTCTCTGGAGGCACAGTTTTAGGAGAACAAAGGCTGGGAAGCGAGTGATGCCAGCCAGCTCCTAGCGCCGCGGGCCAGGAGCGCAGGAAGCGCCCGTTCTGGGCCCCTGAGGGGCTCCGCGCGACCGCGACTATGGGGCAGACGTCTCCGCCAAGTGGGTTCTGACGCTCGCTGCTTTCAGCAAATGGGGAGCAGAGACTTCCGGAGTCCAGAGGGAAATTAGATCGCTCCTTTTGTTTTTTGTTTTAGGTTTATTTATTTATTCTGAGAGAGACAGAGAGAAGACAAGTGGGGGAGGGGCAGAGAGAGGGGGAGAGAGAGACTCCCGAACACAGTCCCCACTGCCAGCGCAGAGCCCGACGTGGGGCTCGAACCCACAAACTGTGAGATCACGACCTGAGCTGAAACCAGGAGTTGGGTGCTCAGCCGACCGAGCCCCTGGCGCCCCGGAATTAGAATGGTTTCCGAATCACGACTGCTGCTGCGGAGCAGGGTGAGGGAGAAGGGCCCCCTACGAGGCCCTGGTGGCTCTGGGGCCTCTGCCCTGCTTCCTCTCTGCCTGGCAGCGGGCGTGGGCGCTGAGTGTGGGCGTGGGCTCCCCGGGCGCTCCCCGCACCTCCCTGGAATCGCTGTCCTTTCTTCCTGGTTGTCTTTCTTCTGGGTCAGGCCCTGTGTTCTCGTGAAGGGGGCGTGGGTGGCCCGTTCCCCACGTCTCCACAGAGAACGAGCAACAGGTCCTAAATCCCGGCTCCTTCTCTGATGCGTTCCCCTCATGGATTTTTCCGCGTGAGTCGGCGCTCCCGCGAGGGGGCCACAGCAGACTGGTGTCTCCATCCTTAAAACGCTCTCCGGGACGCCTTAGATCTGTGGCCTCCTTTGAGGAGGGCGCGAAGTAAGTCAGTTCATCAGGACTGGTGACCAGGCGGCCTCAGCACGTAGAGAGCCAGACCCCTCACGGACTCTGGTGGGCGCGGGTCAGGCCTCCAGGAAGCGCTCAGCCGCAGATGGCCGTTCCCGCAGCCAGACCTGGGTGAGGAGGGTGAGGTTCGCTTTTGCCAATGGGGCCTTCTCCTACTTAGGGTGGTCCCCCTTCCCTCCATTTGATACCTAGTGCTCAGTGCCCCTGCGCTCGGACCCACTATCACAATATCCCGTCTACTCTGAGGAAGGGGCCCAGGACAGTCATTTACACGTTAGTATGAATCTGAGCCAGTGGTTACAGGAGGATTTGTGTGTCCTGTGTGGTCGGAATGGTTGTAGGCAAAGATGTGCAGCAGTGGCAGCCGCGGATCACATCACAGTGGCTGTAAATACCTCAAAATACCGTTTCAATTTCTACTCATTACCACCTCGTAATTAAGCTGTCACCAGGCCCCACCCCAAACCTTTTACATCGAACGTTGACAAAGAAACACAAACCTTCCTGTGTCATAATTGAAAAAACATTTTAATAACGATTTCGATACAGTTTATGATGTCCTGTTTTTCATGTTATGCATTTAGAAACATTATTCTATCCATCCCTCACGGGCAGAGATGCTGCTCAGCTCCGTTGGGGTCACTGGGTCTGAGGCCCGAGGCTCCCCGGCCCCCCAGGAGCCCTGCCCAGGGGCTGGGGAGTGACGCTCACCGAGGCCAGTGTAGAACTTTGTCTGGTCCACTAACAGAGAGAGTCCGTCTGGGGCACTCGCTTGGTCTTGTGGATGCCTGTCCCCCTCCCGTCTCCTGCCCCCGATGCTGCTGGGCTGGCCTGGCCGCACCCGGCGGGGCATGTCTGCGGTGGGCGCGGTTCCCGCCTGGGCCTTCTGCCGCCACGCGCCTCGGGCACCACGCTCCTGGCCTCTTGTGCTTTGCTGAGGCCACGGCAGGCCTTGTAGGTATCTCTGCCCTCCCAGGGCTTGTCTCCTCCTCGCCGGCTGGAGGCCGCTGGGTCCGTGCAGATGGTCCCTCCTCACCGGCTTCCGTCTCGGTCCCCGTGCCTGTGGGCTCTCGGTCCCTGTGCCCACGCAGCCCCCCGGCACCTCCTCCTTGCTCTGAGCTTGGAGCCCCTGTTCCCACTGATCCCCACCCGCCTTCCCAGAAGCTGTATCTGTGGATGGGGTCGGGGTCGAGGTACCCTGAGGACGTTACGTCTGCTGTTAACCCCTGCACGTGCGTGCACCTGTTATGTCCCGATCCCCTCTGCCAGCTGGGGATTTATATTCATATGGATTCTTAAATATTCCTCTTGTTACAAGTAAGTCCTTTTTGCTCAGTGCCACATGATCCTGTGCAGTGAATCGTGAGGTACAAACCCATTTTACAGATCAGAAAACCCAGGACCACAGGAGTTAACTGTGTGGGGGCTGCAGGTGGCTCAGCAGACAAGTCTGAACCCACGTTATTTCTGCTTTTCTGAGCTTGTAGGGACCGATTCTCAAATCTCTGGTCCCGGTGTCCTGCAGACTGTCCCCCACAGTGTGGGGTTTGGTGGTGACACACAGAGCAGGGCCCCCAACCTGAGGGCGGGAATCTCCCACAGGTGCGTTCTCCTGGAGGGGGGCTGGGACTCTCACCCCGTAACTATAAGGGCCCAGAATGTCCACAGAGGCTCCCGCTCAGGTCCCTCGGGGCACAGACACTGCTGACTTGTTCACTCGCTGGCCCCTAGCACCACCCAGCCCACCTGGGCAGATACCGCGGCCAAGTGGCAGTGTGGTCAGGGAGCAGGTGACAATGACCAGGGTGAACAGGAGCCGGGGATGCCCGAGGCTGTGTCCCAGCTGCCATGTGTCCCAGGCTGCCGGGCATCTGGGCTCTGGGCAGAGCCTGGGAGAGGGCAGAGAGGTGTCCGTGGGGCAGAGGCTGGCCCCAGAGGAGGCCGGGGCTCTGGGGACCCGGTCACCCGGTGACTCCGAGGTTTGGAACTGTCTGGCGTTGTCTCTGCTTGCTGGGGTGAGGGCATCAGCGTGCCTTGGAGGGAAAGAAGAGCGGTATAATTACGGGGCTCGGAGGGCCTGCAGGAGGCCACGAGGCCACGTTCCCAAATGCGGGTGGGCCCAAGGCGGGTCCTGCTGTGACAGCGTCTCACGTGGGCACCCGGGTGAGACGAGACCCCTCTGCTGGCCTGGGCACCAAGCCAGAGCGGCGAGAGGGAGAGGAGGAGCAGGGGAGCGGAGCGGGGCTCCCGGAAAACTCTGTAGTGACAGGGTTAGAAGGATCGTTGTCACCACCAGGGACGTGTTGCCACAGAGCCACATCAAGCTGTCTTGTCCGACCTCCCTCCAGCGCAGACCCCTCCCGTGGGGCTCTGGCTTGTCAGCCCCCCGCTCCCCGTGCCAGCATGCCCCTCCCCCAACCCCGGGGACGTGTGCGATGTCTGGGGGCGGTGTGGGCCGTCACCGTGGCCTGGGGTGGGCTGAGCATTCTGTCACACACAGCGGGATCCACTCAGGATACAGGGGCTCAGAGACCCACGTCTGCTTCTGGTCTTACCCGGCTGTCTCCGCCGTCCCCGTGTGCAACGTCGTTGGCACAACAGCTAAGGCGTGAGACCTTCTCCCCAGTAATCAACACATGGGTTTTCGAATCACTTCAGACAATTTTGTGCCGACCCACGTGATTTCATTCAGGTAGCATTTTATCCTGGGGTCTGCGAAAGCGTCCGGGCCCGCTGCCCGCCTCCACTGGGCTGTCCGTGCAGCCGGGGGAGGCTGGGAACTGTGCGGGAGGCCTGGAAGGCGCCAGACACGGAGGGGAGGAGGCCCGGTTGGCTTTGCGCCAGAGGCAGAGCTAAAGCAGCACCGGCTGGTGACGGCCCGGCAGGCGGAGGCCTCGGCCGCCGTCGAGTCTTGAAGGTGGACTTTTACAAGGTGGCACCAAGCCCTCCACGCCCTGCGCTGTTCTCAGCGGGACCCTGGCTCCCTGACCACGAGTGGGGGGGGGGGGATCGCAGACCGTCCGATTACAGGGGTTCTGCCCTGTCTCTGAGGGGCTCCCATCTCTTTTGGGCCAATGCTCCTCATTCAGTCGCCCTTTTGGGGGCGCTTTCTTGCTTCCTAAAGGCCAGCCCCTCCCCAGCCTCCCCGAGACAGACGCCTGAACACAAGGAAGGCCAACCGTCCCCTGGGCGGGGGAGAAGGGCCACGAGTTTCTGACTGCGGTCCCGTGTGTGGCCTTTCCCCGGGCGGTTCTGTGACACCCACGGGGCCGTCCTGTGATCCAACTCGGTTCTGACGTTGTCTAGGTGGCGTCAGACCCACCAGCCCCGGGCTCAGCCCTACGAGACCATCCCCGCCGCGGACGCCAGGCTCAAGTCCTGCGCTTGACCTGTGCTTCTGACCAACTGGCTGTGGGTGGGAAGGTCCCACGACCCCTCCTTGGGTCAATGTGCTGGAGCGGCTCTCACTGCGCAGGCAAGCATTTTACTCGCTGGAGCTGGTTTCCTAGAAGAGGATGCACCTCATGAACAGTGACGGGGGAGAGGCGCAGGGTGAAGTGGGGACGGGGCGGGGGCGCCGGTCTCCCCGAATCTGCATGTGTGCACCAGTGACAGACGCCTGATGGATAGGATCATTGGTTGCCGGGGGATGATGGGCTCCCAGGTCCGCGGGGGGGGGGGGGCCCGGCACGGGGGGGACTGAGGGCTCCGTTCCCCTGGCAACCAGTTAGGTAGGTCACCTGCCCAGGGTGGGGGAGGGGGACTGAGGGCTCCATTCCTCTGGGAGCTTTCAAAGCCACCTCATTACCGTAACAAAGGAGTGAGTGACACTCATACCGAAGAGTGACACTGGGTTTCCTGAGCCCTGAGCCCAGAAACAGGTCCGAGACTGATTGTCATTCGTTACTATAAACGTCAGAGCATCACAGGCTGGCTGGTGCCACTGTGGTCCCTGGGCTGGTCCCCGGACGTGGGACTCTGTACCCTCGAGCCTGTTCTCCTGCTACAGCCCGGGGTTCCCACGCCCGACCCCGCAGCCACCACAGCTCTGGGGGGCGGGGGTTCACCTGCCTTGCTCCCTCCCGGCTCCCAGGGGGCGTCCGGTGGCTGGGCTGGCTCCCTCCTCTCCACCCCACCCCCACCCCCAGGCTCTGTGCATCCTGCTCCCAGAGTCCCGGGGGCCCCGCCCTCTGCTGTGGCTTTGTCTCAGCCCTTCGGGTCTTTACTCTGGTTCCTGCTGTTCAGCTTTGAAGCGGCCCCTGCAGGGGCTCCGGCACCTCACCTTTCTCCCTCCTTCCTCCCACCTCCTCCCTGCCCGTGGCCCAGACGCTGCCCCCCTTCTACCTCGGTGTCTGAGTTCTTGACACGCAAGGTTCACAGTAACACAGTAACCCTGGGTGTTCAGACCTCAGGCTTTGACGCTGATGTGTCAAGGGAATTTTTGATTTAGCGACTTCTGTGTCAAAAGCCTGACTCAGGATGGCTGTCTTTTCGCGGACTTAGAGCCTCTTTTGACAGAGCGCCTCATCGTTAGGGCTTGCTCGGGTCTGCCTGCTGCTTCGTGGCCCTGGAGCCCGTGGCTGCAGGGGTGGAGGGCTCCCGGGCGTCCTGATTTCGGTGGGATAAAAAAATCACTTTGTTATTTTAATAGACATTAGCCCCCTTACAGTATAGCCTGAGTAAGAGTGGGAGGAATGAAGCTCAGGTGCCCCCGACTTCCCCTGAGGTCAGAGACCCGGGACCCCCCAATTCCAGCCGCCTCGTTGCTCCAAACTCTGCCCCTCCTGTGGCCGGACCTTGCTGGAAGGTGGCTGGCGAGGAGGACTTGTCCGTCACAATTTCCCCCTCTTTCCCGCCCGCCTTGTTCGTCACCGAAGCCTTGTGGCTGCTTCTGGAAATGGGAACACGGCCACAGATCACAGCCGTGTCCCTCTTGAGATTCATGTGGCCCCGGCTTCAAGGCAGGTCCCCAAACAAGTGCTGGAAAGTTCTGAGCAACAGAATACATGTCCCCCCCCAGGAGCCTCTCGAACGGGAACATCCTGGCTCGGCGTGTTCCTTAGAAAGAGCATCCGCTCACGCCTGACCGGGGCTGGTTGGAAGCCCAGAGCCTGTGAACCCACCGCGTGCACTCCGAGCTCTGCGCGAGCACGAGGGGGGGCCCCGCGAGACGTCAGGACTGAGGCAGATGAAAGGAAGATTAACCTCCTCGAGCTGGGCAGCCCCGTTTGATGTCAGCCACTGAGGGACGCTTAGTTTCCGTGACTTGACTTGTAATGTCTGAGGGGTCGGAGGCGGGCAGCCGGGAGCAAGTTCAGTGCCAGAGGGAGCGGGGTGGGGGGGGGGGCTCGCCTGGCCGTGAGGGCACCTGCCTCCTGGAGTGGCCACCCTGTCAACCCCTCCCCGGGGGCACAGGCCAGGGTGACTTTCCTTGTTATCTCCCCCTGCCCCCAGGTTTAGGGGCAAAGGCCCCGACGTTGGCGGAGGTGGGATCTGTGGGCCCAGAGCATGTTCCCTGGGGCCTCGCTTCCCCACAGACCCGGGAGACTCTGGAGCAAACACGGAAGGTGCTCCTGGGGATTTGCACAAGAACAAGATGTAATCCATTCGTTCATCCTGTCACTTGCTTATTTATTTTTGTCGAACACTCATTGAGCCCCTACTATGGGTCAGCCACCTGCGGGGGATGCCAGACAAGGAATCCACATCCCTGCTGGGGCTCCAGGAGGGTGCGCCACCTGAGGGGGGAGGCGGGGTCATGCCTCGGCTGAGCACCTGCCGTGCAGAAGGAGCTCTGGGTCCACACTGGGTGCTGACCGTGACCCCGAGGTGCACAGAGCGGTTTAGATACGCTCTTCGGGAAACACAAGGGAACAGAGTGACGTGTGGCTGGAGAGGGGGCGGGGGCGTTGCAGCGACTCGCAGGCAGAGGGCCCAGGGACCGAGGGGTCAGCCACCCAGGGGGAGGCGGGGGCACGCTCGTGCACATCCGAGTCTGACCGGAGGTCAGGTTCTTGGTAGGAGAGGAAGGAGCAAAGCTGGAGACGTGGGTCACGTTCGCGCGTTTTCTGTCTTTCCACTGTCGACCCCACCAATTGGGTGCGTGGAGGTGAAACGGTCAATTTTCAGGGATGGGGGGGGGAGCAGAGAACTTCCCAGGACTCCCAGGGAGGGTGCAGGGGCCACCGTGACCCCAGGGTCCATCTGACCCTGAAGGGTGGACTGAACAGGACAGTGAGGGTCAGAGAGGGCAGGGACCCTGCGGGCCGGCCTGACCAGCGTCCCCGTGTCACGGCGCAGGTGACTGCTGGCTCCTGGCGGCCCTGGCCTCCCTCACCTTGAACGAAGAGCTGCTTTACCGCGTTGTCCCCAGAGACCAGGATTTCCAGCAAAACTACGCGGGGATCTTTCATTTCCAGGTATCGTGCTCTGCTCGTGGCCCTTGAACAGCGTGGGGATTGGGGTGCAGCCGGAAATCTGTGGATGACGTTGGACCCCCCCCAAATGTCACTACTTTTAACTTACTGTCCACCTGAAGCCATCTCGATAACGTAACCAGTCGATTCACACGTAGTTTGTGTGTTACGTGTATTACACACTGTGTTCCCAGAATAAAGTAAGTCGCAGAAAAGAAAATGTTACTAGGAAAATCATGAGGAAGAGAAAACACATTTTCAGGACTGTGCTGTATTTATCGAAAACAGTCCACGCGTGAGCCGTTCTCACTGTGCAAACCGCGTGGCCCAGGAGCAGCTCCCGCCCAGACCCACGGAATCTGAGGGGGGCCGGGGGCCCGGCAGTCCCCCCGGGGGCTTCTGAAGCGCCCCTGGGTCTGAGAACTGCGGCCCCCACGCATCCGCGCTCCCCGGCTGTGTGGCCTTGAGGAGGAAGCCCCTTTGGGGGAGGGTCCCGGGGCACGGGGTCCGGTCGCCCGCTGCGCCATGCGGGCAATTCGTGCCTCCTGCGTTTCCTGCTTTCTCGTGGGTGCGGAAGACCAGGGCCCGCCCTTGCGGGAGCTGGGAGCTCAGGGGGGGCGCTGCCCCGTGTCTGTGCGCCCGCAGTTCTGGTGGTACGGCGAGTGGGTGGACGTGGTCGTGGACGACAGGCTGCCCACCGAGCACGGGGCGCTGCTGTTCCTTCGCTCCGGGACGGGCGGCGAGTTCTGGGGCGCCCTGCTGGAGAAGGCCTACGCCAAGTGAGTGACCCAGGAGCCAGAGGATCAGACCTCGGGGCCAGGAGGTCACGGCTCAGTTCTGTCCCCTGTGACCGCATGAATCGGGGGCGAGCCCCTCAGCCTCGGTGCCTAGTTCTGTCCTCTTTGGGCCCCACGCTCCCTTCCAGGTCCAGGCGTATTTTTACAGGAGTGATGGGGACGAGTAGACGGGGCACTTAGATGCTGACCCCTGCCCTGCGGCCGCCCCCCCTTCCCGTGGGCTCCCCACGTGGGATCTGACGCGTGTCACTTTCTGGCTCCCTGTCCTCCAGCCCCATTCCTCCAGCCTTCTTCCCAGAGCAGGCGCCTGGGGGGACTCCCAGCCTGAGGGAGGGGCCCCCTCATCCCTGCCTGTGCTCCCTGCCCCCAGGGTCAGCTGTGCAGAGGCTGAACTTTGCTTTTAAAGGGGCAGGCGGGCGGCTTGGTGACAGATGACCTGACATTCGTTCCTGCACCTTGCTGGTCCAGAGCAAACTCGGCAGAGGGCCCTCCCTTACCTTCTGCCCCCACGGCCCCCTCGCTTGTGAATGGCGCACTCTTTCCTTCTTTCACAGGCTCAACGGCTCCTACGAGGCTCTCACTGGAGGGTCTCTGGTGGAGGGGTTGCAGGATCTCACAGGCGGCATCTGTGAGTGTTACGACCTGAGGAAGCCTCCGGCCGGCCTGTTTCTGATCATCCGGAAGGCCCTCCGCGCGGGGTCTCTGCTGGCCTGCTCCATTGATGTGAGTCAGTTCCCCTCGTGCGGCAGGGGAGGGGCTGGGCAGGCGAGCGGCCAGGAGGCTTTGGGCCAGAGCAGCATCCAGGCTGAAGGGGCAAGTCTGGTGACACATGGGTCCCAGCACGCGGGGGCGGGTTGGGACCTGGTTAGTGGGTAGAACGGGGGCTCCCATGAGGAGTTAGAAACCGGGGAGCAGCCCTGAGAACCGAGATCTGCTCCCGGATCCCAGCTCCCTCCTGTGCTCCCCCCTCTCTGCTGAGTAACCGTGGGCTTTAGGAAACAGATTTAGGACGTACTCGACGGGCTTTGGGACCCCTGAGGAAAAGGGAAGCGGTTCTGGAACCAGGGTGCTGGCCGTCCCGGCCCTGGGGCGGCGTGGACGGACTGACGCACTTTTCCGCAACGTCTCTGCATTAGTGTGTCTTTGGTGGAGAGACGGTGCAGGGCCTGGAGAGAAAGGGGGGAGGACCAGGCTTGTTCAGAGCAGCCGTCCTGGATCGGCGGCACGGGGTCACCCTCGGGGAGCAGGTGACGCCCCAGTTTTCGGGGGCATCTGGAGGCTGTGAGCGTGGAGCTGTGCGCCTGCTTGGAGGGGCGGGATGGGGAGGGCTCTGCTCCCTGAGGTCGCTGCTGCACCTGCACCCCAGCACCGCACGGGGCCCGTCTGGGCGGCGTGTGCTCGGAAAGCCCTGTAGGGGCCACCCGCACAGGGTCAGGATCAGGGTCCTCATTCCCCCGCAGGTCTCCAGTGCAGCTGAGGCAGAAGCAGAGACCACAACCTCCCAGAAGCTGGTGAAGAGCCACGCGTACTCGGTCACTGGCGTCGAAGAGGTAGAACCGGGGAGGGGAGGGGAGACTGCACGTGCCCAGGGCACCCTGAGAGGGGCCACCTCTGAGAGGTTCCCTGCCCCCCCCGAGGTCCCTCTCCGGCTGCCCCTGACACTCACAGCAATGGGCCTTCTGGCCTTGTGGATGGCGTGGCCTGTGTGAGCCACAGCTCCGAGGGCTCCGAGGAGATGCGGCCTGGGGGGCGGGGGTGGGGGAAGGCCCTGGAGAAAGTGTAGAAATTGTCAGATTCCACACTCATCCCAAGCGTGTGTATACAGGTGAAGGGGTGGAAACCCGCACGACCCCGAAGGGGATAGAGGCAGTGATGTCTGCTCTCAGGACGGGGCGTAACAGCGGGAAGGAGCACGGGTTTTTCCCTACTCTCCAACCCGAGCAGAAAGCAGGGGCTGTGGTTTTCAGTATTTTTAGTTACTGGACTCTGCCCACTTCCCTAAAAAGGATTTGCAGTTGTTTACAGAGAAAAGCACAGACACTGTCAAACCATAGCACGAGGGTAAATACGCCAGATAATCCAGGCAAAAGACAGTGCTACCGTTGAGAAATGAATTTTGCTTTGGGTTTCCCGCTGGCCAAGGCAAAAAGGGAAATGCGATGGGTATCTCAGTTTTTGTTATTTATTAAAATGAAACAGGTGTTCGTTGCATGCGTTTGTGTCCCACGAATATCCTCTTTAGTGAAGCCAGTTCTCCAGTACGGATGGAGTGTGAATGTGTAAGCACAGGGCTGGGTGTCACGGGAGATACAAAGGAAAGCAGGACACCGAGGTCCTAATGATTCGTCGTGTCAGTGTGTGCGGATGCAAATACTGGCACGAGGGCTCCTAGTGAGTGTTCAGTAACCACCAGGGAGGCAGGAGGTGTGGGCTTCGGAGACAACGGCCCAGATGCCCACCCTCTCTCCACCACCCGCTGACCCTGGATAACTTAACCCTCTGAGTCTAGGATTTCTGAGCTGCAAAATACAGGTGCTAGCAGCACCCAGCTCGTAGGACCCCCATCAGGTTTAAATGAGGTGATAATGCCCTTGAACCGCTTAGCGCCCTGCTTAGTCCGGAGCACATGTTCCGTGAGTGCTGACTGCCATGCTGCTGGCATTTGTCTGGAGGGCGCCTGTCACCGTTAGGTTCGTTCCAGCCGATACCAACTTGTTAGACACACTACGTGTCCAACCCAATTGTGGAAAACAGAGCAGTTGGCCGCATCCTGAAAATGTGTTAAAATAAGGGTGTGGTTGTTTAGGGGCATTGAAAGTTGAGTGGGAGCCCCCTCTGGGCAGACGTGGGGGTGGGGCAGCCCGGACACAGCAGCTCAGGTGCTTTCGCGCGCGCGCGCGCGCGGGGACCTTGCAGGTGGATTTCTGGGGCCATCCCGAGAAGCTGGTCAGACTCCGGAACCCGTGGGGTGAAGTGGAGTGGACGGGGGCGTGGAGCGACAGGTAGGCTCTCCCTCTCCGTCCTCGCCTCCCCCTGCGGACACGGCGGTCCTCTTGAGACCAAAAGCGCCGTGAGCACCGCGGCACTTTCTGTCCACGAGCAGCCTGTTCAGAGCGTGCTGCGTGGCTCCGGGCTGGGAAGGCACAGCTCGCAGCACGTGGTGGGGTCTCTGCCTGGCGTTTGCAGATCTGGCAGCTGGGTTGCAATTCTGCTTGTCGCTGAAGTTTGCCTGTTTCCCGACTGCCACACCGCGGTGACCCCAAGGGAGGCCAGACCCTCAGGTCGACGCCTCCCAACCCACAGACCCTGGTCTCTGATAAAGGCCAAGCTTGGGAAGTGGGGTCCATCCCCAAGGGCCAGCAGGCAGTGGTGGGTGGACGCGAGCGAGGCTCTCACTCACCATGGGACTCCTATTGGTCCTCCCGGCAAGGTCATGAAGGACCGGACAGGCTCCCCGCAGGCAGGCCTCCCGCCCTGGACGAGGAGCCACTGGAAATGGGAATGAACTCCCCTCCCTCCCCTCAGTGCGTCCTTAACCTGGGGAGGGGGGGGGGAGGGATCTGAGTGCTGTCTGTGTGTCCTTAACCTTGGTGAGGGACAGGGAGCTGCGTGCTGTCCGCACTCGGCGATCGCGCTGGGCTCTGGGGGGCCTTTGGCACGTGCAGCCACACGTCACCAGTGCCCACCTGCCTGCCTCCCTTCGGGTGTGCGCCACCAGAAACAGGTGTCCCTGGGGCCACAGATTCTGATGCCCCTGCCTGAGCCTGAGCAAAACCCAAAACCTCCCTTCTGCCAAAGGCCCAGAAAGGGCAGAAACCGAACGAACCGAAGCTCCGAGTTTGGGCCGTTTTGGCCGACGGCTGTTTGGCCGGAGGGCTTGTTTGAGCCCGGCTCCTTGCCTGACGGCTCTCGGTCTCTCAGAGGTTGGGGCAACTCCGAGCGGAGGCGTGGGCGCAGGTGAGGGTGCAGGCGGGGACCTGGCAAGGACGTGGGCGTGGATGTGGGTGTGGACACGGGCGTGGACAGGGCTGTGGCCGGGGCTGTGGGTGCAGGTGTGGTGTGGGTGTGGACGCGGGTGTGGACAGGGGTGTGGCCAGGGAGTGTGGGTGTGGAGAGTCGTGTGGACGTGGGTGTGGGCGTGGACACGAGCGTAGACCGGGGTGTGGCCGGGTGTGGGCGTGGCCATGGGGCGTGGCCACGGGCTTGCATGCCTGACCAGCTTCCGCAGGCTTCTTCTCTCGACCCTCCTGTCCTCCGGACCGGGAGCCTCAGTCAGACACGGGAAGGGGCCCGAGAGTGAACTTAGGGCAAAGTCCCTGCCGCACAACTGGGGTCGCCCTGCAGGTGCCGTGGGGTCCGTGTCCCCGGCCTGCGTCCTGTCCCAGGTGCGTGCCCCCCGCCCCCACTGTCTGTTCTGCCTCTGCCTGCTGGGTTTCAGCTCCCGTCTGTCTGTGGCCCTCGGGGGACATCTGTCTATTCCAAGGCCCTGCAGGTGACCTTGCTTAGACGACCACCTCTGCTTCGATTCAAAGTATTTCAGGGCGGCCTGGGGGCTCCGTTGGTTAAGTGTGGGACCCTTGATCTTGGCTCAGGTTCATAGATCAAGCCCAGCGTTGGGCTCTGCGCCGACAGCACGGAGCCCGCTTGGGACTCTGTCTCCCTCTCTGCCCCTCCCCCCACTCACACTCTTTCTCTCTCTCAAAACCAATAAATAAACTTAAAAAACTAATTTTATGATTTCCACCAGTGCACCAGAGTGGAATCACATCGATCCCAGGAGGAGGGAGGAGCTGGACAAGAGAGCCGAGGACGGGGAGTTCTGGTGAATGCCGTCTGGGGGAATGTTCCGGAATGCGACAGGGTCTCCTCGGGGGCTGTTCTTCCCCCTTTTATCGCCCTTCCTGCGTGTCGTAGCATCGAAGACGTACTGTCTGGGCCTGTCCTCCCACGTTCCCGCATCCGTTCATCGGGCAGAGCGCTAAGCTGGGCTTAGCAGTGAGGCAGGGGGACTCCCTCGTGGCGGGCGGAGGCAGGTGACAGGGACGCCATGAACGTGACGTGGCCTGGGGACGTGTCTGCAAGTCATTGCTTGGAGTTAGGTCGGAGGACGCCTGCTCAGGCTCCCAAGTGGCCGGCCCGGAGGCAGCACCCGCATGCAGATGGGTCTCTGCCTGGTCCTTACCGCGCCGGGGGGGGGGGGGGCGGAGGGGGGGCTCCCTGATAAAACGGAGGCGCTGACAGTAGCAGGGACTCGGACAGCAGCCCCGCGGGTGCAGAGAGGGTCAGAGCCGGCCGCGGCCGCCCCTCTGTCCTGCCCGCAGGCTCCCCCTTCTCTCCTCTCAGCCCTGCTCTCCTGACCCCCAGCCCTCTGCCTCTTCCGCCCCCAGGATGTCATTTTCGGATTTCTCGAGGCAGTTCTCCCGGCTGCAGATCTGCAGCTTGTCCCCGGACTCCCTGAGCGGTGACCAGCTGCACAAATGGAACCTGGTCCTGTTCAACGGCCGCTGGACGCGGGGCCCCACCGCCGGGGGCTGCCCGAGCTTCCCAGGTGAGGCAGAGGGCCGAGGGGGCCCAGGCCCTTCTGGTGCGCCCTCCCAGGGCTGGCTCCCGGCACAGGCCCCGCGTCTCCCTGGGCTTGGGGACCCCGGCAGCCCCCCACCCGAGGCCTGAGCCCAGCTAACACCGTCCCTCAGCTTCTGCGTGTTCAGGGTGTCCTCAGGCCCCCCACCGCCCCCGCCCCCCCAAGGGCCTGCTCCTTCTTGTTTAATGTGCCCTTGGCCCCCGGTGCCAAGGCCCCCTGCCCTTTCCTTGGGCTCCTCCCGGCCCCTGGCGGACAGCCTCCCGACTCCGAGAACCTCTGCTGCTTCAACACGCCGCATCCCCCAGGGTGCGTGTGCACCTGGGGGGGCAGTGGACACGGAGGCGGAGGGGCCTGAGCCTGGGGGTCCGGACGGCCCCTCCGCCCTCTCCCGGGGCCACCGGAGCCCCACCCCGGTGGGGACAGCCTGGTACAACCATCCACATCTGCACGCCCTCGTCCTGCTGCGGGTGGGGGGCCCTCCTGGCTCCCAGGACGGCACCGACACACGGGCGCACTGAGAAACCCACCGCACGTCTCTAAGGAGAAGTGGAGGAAAGCAAAGCCCACTGTCTGCACCCCTCCCTCCCCGGCGCCCCACCCACCCCTGCCTGGTTCCCTGCCCTCCCTGCTCTGAGGCCTACGGCCCCACCGGCTGGTGGAGACCCTCGGCCCCCCAGGCAGAGCTGGGCCAGGGCTGTGTCGTGCTGTGCACGTGGCCCCGTAATAAAGTCCCACGTGCGTGCAGGCCACATGTCCTCCTTCGTCACCCCCCTCCCAGACCCAAAGCCCCACTCTGGTGGCAGAGACAGTGGGCGCCCACCTGGTTGAACAGGTGCCGGGCCCTGGGAGCGTCGTTTGGGTTCCGGAGCCTTGTGGTACAGTGAGAACACCTACCTCGGAAGGCGCTTTGTAAACTGGGTAGTGTTCCGTGAACGGGGTGTAGTATTTTTATGGCCCATTCTGTTCCTCCGGTTCCGTTAAGGAGTGAACAAAAAATGGAGGGATTGCGGTAAGGTTGCATTTGGGAGAAATTAAATATGCTCGCCGTTAGCAAGCTCTCAGAGAATGCTGGGAGATTTGCAAGGATCACTTAGGGGCTCAGAGCCATGGGGGACAGAGGTCTCTGCACACAATCCCCGTCACCTCCGCATCCTTCCCGCCCTTCTGCAATGGCTTCCTGAAGCCACAGGGGTTTGCCTTTGAAATCCACACACTTGTGCCCTAAATAAACAGTCCTGACGTGGGGGATTGAGAAGGCGGGGTCGAGTACGTAATATTACCACTGATAATTCGTGGTTCTTGGTCCCCTGTGTGGGCCGTGTCATTTCGTCCAGTTGGGACCTTCCCAGAAGGATGTGAGAGCCCCCCCATCCCTTCCCCGCCAGGGCCCTTCCCAGAGGATGTGAGAGCCCCCCATCGTCCCCTCCCCCCAGGGCCCAGCCCCCCCAATCCCCTCCCCTCAGGGTGCTGCCTGGGTAAAGCGGTTGAGGCCCAGCGTGGAGATGCCCGTCGGGCCCCTCTTCGGTTGCGCTCTGCCACTTTACTCTGTCACAGAACGCTGTGTGCCCTTGGATGACCCACCTGACCTCTCTGTGCCTTGACTTGTGTAGTCGTGCACTGAGAGAGTGTTAAGAGTCAAGTCGCAAGTGAAGCGGTCTTTCAAAATACCAGTAGGTGGTGACACAGGGGTGCTTCTTAGCTGCCGACCATTACCCCTCCTGCGCCGTCGAGCGAGAGCGTGACCCCGGCCACGTAGGGAGGCCCCGGCCAGGGGATGGACGGTCAGCCCCCCCTAGCTGCTTCGGGCCGTGATCTGGGGCAGGGGCCCCCTCTGCGAATGGACAGATGCCCATCAGACAGGTTGTCTCTATAGCCTGTCCTGGGGCGTGACTCCTCCCCCCAAACCTCCTTCCTCAAGGAGGCGGGCCTGTGTCCACAGGCCAGGAGCTCAGAACAGAGGGTGTTAACCGATTCCCCGGGGAAGGCACGGAGGTTACTTGCCAGAGTCCTGGTGTGGCCCCGGGGCCATCAGACCTCAAATATTCCCAGTCCAGCATGTCCGGGCCCCCGGTGGCTCAGATGCCCCCGTGCCAGGTTTCCCGATGTTACGGGATGTGTCTGCTGCTGCGTGGGAGGGGGAGGGGAGGGAGGGGAAGGCTGAGCACCCCGTGAAGACGGCTCGCGGACACCTGCCTACACGCGGCTGCCGTTCTCTGCGGTGACCCAGCCCCTCCCTCGTATCCTTCCCCTCCTCCCCCGCCGCCATCTCCCGGTGACTTCCAGCCACTCACTGGACCAATCCCCAGTTCAAAATCCATCCGGACAAGGTGGATGACGGCCAGGAGGGGGGCTCGGCGAGCCCCGCTGCACGGTGCTGCTGGGTCTGCTGCAGAAGAATCGCAGGTGACGGGAGAGGACAGGACAGGGCCTGCTCAGCATCGGCCTCAGTGTCTACAAGGTACTTCTGGAGCTGGGCCGTCCTTCATTCCACACTGGGGGGGTCTTTGCTTGGGATGTTTTGGCCAGTAATTGGGGTGCATCTTTCCTATCGCTTGGATATTTCTCATCAAGCACTCTTCTCGCTCCCCTAAATGCCTCTACTGAGGCTTGAATTCCACCATTAGAGATTCATTCCTATGGCTTACACTTCTGCTGTTAACGTCGAGATGTGTAATTCCTTGAAGTTTGCTGGTTATCAAGGGCTCAGTGTTAATGCACGTACTGGACTTTCCAAGTACAGGCTTCTCAGGGGACCGGAGCCAAGAACATGGGGCATGAGGCGCTTGGGTGGGGGGAGGGAGGCTGCATGTGGGAGCCAGACACACCTTTCCTCCCATGCTGGGCGACCTCGAGACCCTTCTCAGAACCCACAGGCAAGGCCGGGGTGAGGGCAGCCACCTGGCCACATTTGGTCCTGTCTCTGGGTTAGGGACACCCTCTGTGTCAGGCAGTGCCCTGCTCCGGTTTGCAACAGAAACCACCCCCTGTGACTCCACGGCCTCAGGGACACGTTAAAGCAAGGCCTCGCTGGGAACGAATCGGAAGCCGCCTTTTTACACAGGCAAAGACTCCTTGCCGCAGATTCCGGAGGGGTTCCTGGTGGTTGGTTTTTTTTTTGTAATTTTGTTAAGAATGAATTTCTTGGGAAAAACGCAATTTCAGTCCGGAAGAACACGAGCCGGCTGGAGGCCCGACACCTCAGAATAAAGTGACGCACGAGAAAGGAAGCCCACTGCCGAGCTCCGACCACCCCCGGCCCCTTTCTTCCTCCTGCTTTGGAACGTGAGGCTTTGCAGTTCAGGGTGTGGTATGTGTGCGTCTTCTTTGGCGGAAGCGTGCCCTTGGAAAGTGGCCGGTGGGTTGCTGGCAGGAGACCAGAATGTCCGGTAAACAGGCCCAGTGCCACCCCAGCTTGGCCCGTCCCCCCCACCTAGAGCGTGCAGAGCCCCGGACCGTCCCCCCCTCCCAAACCTACAGCGTGCAGAGCCCCGGACCGGACTCCTTTTCTGCAGGGATGAAAATCGAGAAGGCGTTTACGAATGTGTGTCAATTCCACGTGCTTTAGCGAGCGTCTGTTTTGTGCCGGTGCTGTGCTGAGCATAACACACGGTTATGCTCTCAGGAGCCGTTAAAACCCCAAATTCAGCTGAGTGAACGTTAAAGACCGTACTGGCTTTGTTCAGTGACTTGTGAGACGGGCAGTGTCCCATTTGGCAAGGAGGGAGGAGCCCTGGTTACAGGCACAGGGTGGGAGAGGGAAGTTCCAGGGAGGGGCGGATCGGTTCAGGCTGGGTCACCTTCCTTTGGGGGACAGCTGGGGTCTGTCAGGTGGGTCACCTCTCCGGTGCGGCCCAGTGACTACAGATGAACTGGGTTGAGATTTCATCCCTATAAGAGGATCAAAGTGTCGTCCAGTCAGGTATCAATTGTCACTGGTCGTGGGGAGCACTTAGGGCTGCGGGGAGCATCTGACGTTGTAGGGAGCATCTGATGTTGTGGGGAGCACCTGGGGTTGTGGGGAGCACTTAGGGATGTAGGGAGTACCTGGGGGTGTAGGGAGCACATAGGGTTGT